CGGTATTTGTAATGTTCGTTGCTACAAACGTGATTTCTACCATATACCGTTCAGTAAAATACCGTCTATTGAATTACTGAAAGTACCCGACGATTTTTATGAGATAATTTCGGGAATGCAGGAAACGTACCAATTCCAGTCACATGATAAGCTTAACATGAGTGGTGATCTTGCCAAGGCGTTGATTCAGAAAGAAAGAGCAGCAGGTTAGTCTCGCTAATACGTAAACTAATACAGTAAATAATTTTTTTAATTATAGATACGCATGCTCAATCAACAATGAATAAACAGGCGTTTACTTATGTAAACGGTATCGTTTTTTATGAAGCAGGATTGCATAAAACTGTTGAGAGAAAAAAACGATATTCGATACACTGCGATATTTGTTCGGAGTGTTGGTCGTCTCTAATAAAAGGGAAAGTACCGAAATTTTCGCCTGCCAACAAAATATGGGCTGGAGATGTCCCAGAAGAACTACAAGGACTAACAATTCATGAGGAAAAACTGATCTCTCTTTATCGGCACAATGGCTGCATTGTCAAGTTACATTCGTCTTTTCATTCGACAAGTACAGCTCAGTCAGCTTTAAGGAGGAATTGCATAAGTTTTCCCCAAGATGTTATTAACGTAGCTACTACCTTACCACTAGATTTACATGATCTATGTGATTCTCTAAAGATAATCTTTGTTGGATGTCGTCCTCATCAACGAAACCAATTAAAAAATGTTTTGACCGTTCGGAAAAAGAAAGTTTTCGAAGCACTTCAATGGCTTAGACAGAATAATGCTCTATATCGTAATGTTACAATTAATCAATCAATAATCAGCAAATTACCTGACGATGATGTACCGGAATGTTTGTGGGCAACTATGGAAATTTCTACTAATGTAGAAGCAGCTGAAAATGAAAGAGCAAGTTACATTCCTGATCCGTTGACCAATGCATCTGAATTTAACAATAGAACAGCTATATCTATAATCTCAAGGTAAGACAAAGAGACATGTAGATATGCTTGCACTAATATTGTTTATGTTATAGTGCTGTGTTAGATGTCAATGGTACCAAAGTGTCGTCTGATGAAGTTGCTAAACATCTTTTAGAACGAATCAAAGCACAAGTGCCAGAAAAAACACACGGAAAAGACACCGAGCAAAACTCTAAACAAGACACTGTATACATAATTCCTCGTGGCAACAAACTGGCCAATGAATATTCTAATCCAAATCTTTTATTAGGAATCTTTCCCACCTTATTCCCATATGGATGTGGTGGGCTTGAGGATGGTTCTCGACCAATTCAAATCAATTTTCGTGAGCATCTCAGATATCTTCTTTCGTACGCAGATCGCCGCTTTGAAGAACACTACTCATTTATATTCCTTGTCTTCAATATTTTACAACGCCGAACAGCATGTTTCCACGCCTAATTAATGACAACAAGATCATGGTTTCAACAATCTGCACAAGTTCGTAACTCATTGAGTTCTGAAGATGCAGCAACAGCCCTTATTAATATCTCAAAAGCGCCTTATTCAAAAGTTACTGACGAGAGAATAAATACGTTGATGAAGCACATCAAAATTATTGGTGGTCACGTCATGGGTTCAGCTCATTCCCGATCAGCTCTTCGTACGAAAATTCATTCTTTATGTTTTTATCTTGGTCTTCCTAGCCTTTTCCTCATAATCAATCCGGCCGACATCAATAGTCCAGTGGCACTTTACTTTGAAGGTGTCGATCTCGATCTTGATAACGTTCTGCCAGAAGTCCTGCGTACAAGTTATGAGCGTGCTCAAATTGTCGCGACACACCCTGTTGCAACTGCAAAGTTCTTCAACTGTTTAATAAAAAGCATTTTGAAAAGCCTAGTGCTGGGCGGTGTATTTGGTCCTGCAAAAGCGTATTTCGGCACTGCAGAGAGTCAAGGAAGAGGATCGCTCCATTTACATCTCGTGATTTGGCTCAGTCATGAATATACTCCAGCACAATTGAAAGAAAATATTCAAAATCAAGATTTTCGTGAAAATTTGCTAAATTATTTAGAAGATATTAAAAAAGAAGATTTAGATTCGTTTCGAGGTAATATATTTAACATTGTTCGAATCTGTCATTTGAAGTTGTTACATTTGCCTACTTGATGCTGTTTTACACCGTAATAGTGCATCACTGCCTTACCTTGAACTTGAGCTTTCAGAACATTTTAAAAATTTTCATTAATCCAACGCATACTTCATTCCGATTACTTATTCTTACTATATATTTATGAGATTTATATTTTTTGTACTTTTGAATATCAATATTCTTTTTTAAGATGAAACCAACGACGGAGCAAGTACGACAAGCGATGATAGAACATTAATTGGTGAGCTTTGACGCTTTTAGTAGATCTTTAATTATAATTCTCACTTCATCTTAGGACAAATTGAATCGACAGCAAGTGAAGTTATACCACCATGTCTCCCGACACCAAATCCTGCATTGGAAGGGGTCTAGGACAACTGATCATGGGATAACTTATCACGGACAACTGATCATGATCATCTGATCATGGAAAAACTGATCATGACGACAACTGATCATAGACAACTGATCATAAGGGACAACTGATCTTGAACAGTTGATCATAAAAAATCGTTCGATAATTGATAATTGTCATTTATTTCCAAACAAAAAAGAACAGAGAGAGGGTGTGGGTGTGAGTGGGTGTTAGTGTGGGTGGGTGTAGGTGTGGATGTTGCGTGTTGGTGTGGGTGGGTGTGGGTGTGGGTTTTAAAAATAAGAAATAAATTCACACCCGCACCCACACCTACACCCACACCCACACCCACCCACACCTACACCCACATCTACACCTACACCCACACCTACACCCACACCTACACCTACTCCCACACCCACACCCACCCACACCCACACACGCCTACACGCCTACACCCACACCCACACCCACACCCCACACCCACACACCCACCCACACACGTCTACACCCACACCACCCACCCACCCACCCACCCACCCTAAACGATAACAATAATCTCATGGCCTTCATGATCAATTTTCCTTTATGATCAGTTATTCATGATCAGTCGTCCGCCGTGATCAGTTGTCTGTCATGATCAATTATCCATGATCAATTGTCCGTGACCAGTTGTCCCATGATCAATTTCCTGTGATCAGTTGTCCGCTCACCCATTGGAAGGCTTCGATCAAACGTTTCGCAAAGATGCAGTTCAATTGGTCGAAACCTGCAATATTCACAAGCATTTTGCAGCTTGCTATAAATATTCTAAAGGCAAAAATGAGAGTTCAAAAATTTGTCGAAGGTGCATGCCACGTGCACTAGTGAAGGTTTCTAATATTGATCCTACGGCGGGACAAATAACTATGCGTCGATCGCACCCGTGGATCAATAACTTCAACGAATGGCTCTTAACTGCATGTCGATCAAACATGGACATTAAGTTCATCTGGAGTGGAAATGACGCTAAAGCATTAGTTTACTATATAACTGATTATGTAACAAAGTCTACTCTGGCCTTCTATCATATGTTTGCGCTGGCACAACAAGGCATCAAATCTATCGAGCATGAACGAATTTCTAATAGCACAGATAATATTGTTGGCAAACCGCGCAAACTAGTGTTACGCTGCTTTAATATGATTGCTTCACAACAAGAAGTTTCAGGTGTTCAAGTTGCGTCATATCTAATGAACTATGGTGACCACTACACTACGCATACGTTCAAAAATCTTTTTCTCATTTCAATCGAAAACTATCTACAAACAGAACTAAATAAAGCATGAATTAACGAAAAAGAAATTGTTGAAGAGAGAATAGATGGTAGAACTTTTTAAAATAATTCTATAGATTTTTAATATGTAGTTTTCTAGAGACTTCAACGTCTTTCTACGATGAACAAGGAGAAGATAAAAGCGAAATCGAAGAACAATTTTTATTAGAACCCACAAAAACCAACAACGGCGATCAGTATGTCTTGGTCAATACTCATCTTGACTATCAGCATCGATCGAAGGATCTAAGTGCATTGTGTTTATATGACTTTGTGAGCCATTTTCACAAGAAGGCTATCGATAAATCGGATCGTCATTTACTAAAGAATGTAACCGATCCTCAGGGCCAACAATTACCTACAGAAGGAACGAAAATGAATGAACGTCATACATTTGACAGCGTACATCCACAATCAACATCTCATCTCATAATTAAACGTTCCATTCCAGTAGTACCAGTTCTGACAGGTCCTCAAATACCTCGCCGCGAACGAGAAGAAACACATGAACGTTATTGTCGCGCGTTGTTAACATTATTCATGCCATGGCGATCAGTCCAGAACCTTTGTGCAACGAATGAGATATGGTCTGAAGCATTGGAAGCTCGAAGGCTGTTGATCTCTCCCAACTCGCTTAAGATTATAGAAAATATAGAACTTTTGCACGAATGCAAACACGATCGGGATGAACATCTTCATCAAGTTCTTTTAGAAGCCCAAAACGACAACAGCATTGACCCTATTTTGATGCCTAATTACTATGAAGGCGACGAAAATGCAGAAGAAGACGATCCTGAACAACTTTTGCAAATGCTCTCCATCGTAAATGAGATCACGACAAACACTTACTCTGCATTGGCAGCTACTCAAGAACAACGCTATGTTCATGATGCATTACAAGCAATTGATAATACAGATAGATTTGCATTACTAAATGGTGAGTTAATTACTATTATATTTCGAAAATATTTTGTTTTGATTTAGACAGCAGACACATTTGGGACCAAAATAATTATGGCACCATACACGACATCAACACATTTGTGGTAGCTCACGCATATCACAGCGTCATGATTAAAGGATGGAAACGTGACATTGAAGGTCGACGAGATGAAGCAAGAAACTATTTAATTTCAGGTGAAAATACTCTGGAAGTGCGAGATGATGAAACACAGATTGTAGTGGTAGCAACTGAAATTCCAACAAGTCCCATTAAAACGAGAGCTACAAGAGTTCCACCTGTGACTACAACCAATGCAATATTATTTCCAACAAAACAAGATATTATCAGACAATTTACACTAAGCACTCAGCAAAAATATGCTTTTATGATTATAACTAGTCACTTAGATGGCGAAAATCATGCTTATACCGGTATATAATATTTTATTGATTTTGTTATTGAAAATTTTGAATAGTCTTGATATTTAGATACTATCGATAATCAGTTATTAAGAGAGCACCCATGAGGCCATCGAGTATCATGTCTGATATCGAGGCACTCGACAAAATTTGAATTTTTGATTTGACATTCTCATCTTGTTCAGCATCATCGAAAACCTCTAAATCCAAATTTTTAGCGCATTTGGTTGAGGTGATGAAAAATTAGCTCGATTTTACTCTCGAGCACTCACCAAGTGATGCCAAAAAAATCATCAAAAATCATCTAAATAAAGTTGATTTTTTTTCAACGATAATAAATTGACAAAATTTTTAACGTCATATACTAAAAGATAGAGCGTGAGAAGCTGAACAAAACTAGCTATTTACGAATTATTTCTCACTGGACTAAACGGATTTTTTTGATTAAATACTTTTGATCATTACCATTTTTCGAGCAAAAATTAGGGTGTTTTTTTTTCATTGTTTCATATACCACTGAGTCATTTTATGAGTGCCCAGATTGAATTTCATATATGTTATACAACTTTTTCTCCTCTACAAAATGGTTAAAAAAAAGTTTAAAAAATTTTTACCCATTGAGGCGAAAATTGGCTCACAATGTTGACCAACTAGGTAATATTTTTAAGAAAAAATTATTTTGAATGAATTTTTTCCTACTAAAAAAGAAGTCTTATCGGGTTATTCAATATGCTGAGGATTCTGATCATCATCACAAACTTTTGTCAGCACATATGCGCTTTATAAAGATTGAACAGTAGGCATATGTTACCTATTGTGGGAGTAAATTGCATCTCTGTTCCTATGCTCTTTATGATCATGTTAAACATAGGGTAGTATTAGTGTGGATCAAATAATGCATCATAAATTTGAGAAGAAACATAAAAGAAAAGTGGAAAGAGTGATATCTGAATAACAGATTAATGAATCACAATATTTATGATGCCAAATAAACATCTGTGATAGGCTTTTTCGACAAATTCAA